ATCTTGAGTCTAACAGTTTCACTAGAACAGATTAACCAAAGGTTAAATTCTTCCCCTCCTGAAAAAAATCAATACAAATGATTTAAACAAACAAACCTAGCCAGGCTAAAATGAGAGAGTAAACTCAGTACTATTTAGAATCTGAGGAAAGACAACATGATGAACAAGAACAAAAAAATATAATAGGATTTTAAAATCATATGCTCAGAGATCTAAAAGAAGACTGTATGAAATGAATTAAAATATATTATGAAACAAACAAATTAGAGCCTAAGAAATGGAAAAAATATGAGATGGGTCAGTAGTAGAATGGACAAAGCTGAAATCAAACTAGGATATGAAAGCTAGACACAGAAGTTCTAACATATGTATAAGAGGGATCAATGGAGAGATAAAAAATTAAAGTAGTAGTAGTAATGGCTGAGATTTTCTAAGAAATGAATACAGAGATGAGCTCTTAAACTGAATGATCAGGACACATTTGAACAATAACTTTTAGAGAGAAGATTTAGATACCACAATTACCCAGGCTGATCTAATAGTAATATATACAAGTATGCACCCCAGAGAGATTGTATGGAGAGACTGTATAGTCTCTTCAGACATCAATGGTTTATTTACATAAATTGACCATAAATAGAATTTCAATACATTCTCAAAAAACTGATACCATACAAGGCCACATTCATTGATTACAATGCATTAATATTAGAAACCAACAATGAAATGAAGCCCTAAATCCTTATACCTAGACACTGAAATACTTACATCTAGAATTACTTATAGATAATTCATGGGTTAAAGAGGTAATGAAAATAGACATTCTGAAATACTTAAAACTAAATGATGATGAAGGCACTGCATTTCAAAACCTGGTAGGATGTAGCCAAACTACGCTCAGAGAAAAAAATTTATAGCCTAGCTGCATATATTGGAGAAAAGATTAAAAATAAACTAAGCTTTCAACTAAAGAAGCCAGAATAAGAACCAGATAAATCCACAAAAAGTATAAGGAATTAAAAGATAAAAGCAAACAGTAATGAAATGGGAACAGGGAAGAAATAGTAAAATTTAAGCAATAAAGTCTAATAAAAAACACAACTTTGGAAAATGGCAAAGGAACAAATTAGAGAAGGCATAAATTAACATTTAAGTCCTTATCCTTTTAGAGTTTTATGCTAAAATATTAATAAAATACCTGGGATTTGCTTCGAAATATGTGGAGTAGGAAGTAGAGATGAAACAAGAGTGTCCATGCATTGAGGGTTATTATAACTGAGTGATGGCTACGTGGGGGTTACTGTACTATTGTACTTTTGTGTATGTTTGATATTTTCTATAATAAAAGGTTAAAATAATAGAAATATTTTAAAGGACATAAACATTTGAAACTATTTATAACTCTGTACTAATGAATTTTTAAACCTAGATAAGCATAAATGATATTTTTTGAACACATCATATGTGCTCATCTCTGTTCTGAGCCATTTACATGTATCAGCTCAAATACAAGCCCTAGTCTCAAGAGCTATGAGAACTTGGCCAGTTACTTCACCGTGTTTCTTCAGCCTCAAAATGGGGATAATAATGGTACTGATACCATAGGGTTATTGTGAGGATTAAGTTGGTGCTTTACCTATAAGAGAGCCTGGCACATAGTAGGAGCACAACACATGTTAGTGATTATTAAGAACTGAATAAATGGATGAGTTCTCAAACTAAGGCCTACCAAGTCCTCACCAGGCTACATCTGAGCAATAACACACATACAGAGATTTTTATGTAACCTTGATTTAAAAAAATTAAACAAGGCTAGCATCAGAATGGAAAAGTAGAGGCCCATCTTATTTATTTGAATGTGGATGCAAAAAATCTAAAGTACTGTCAAATAAAACCCAGTGTGCTATATTATAAGAATTATACACCATGAAAAAGTCAGATTTATCCTGGGACTGTAGAGCTGGTTAAACATTACCAGAAATCTCTCAGTGAATTCAGGACATTAAAGGGATTTCTAAAAAAATGAGTAGATGTTGGAAAGCATACAATAAAATAACATCCATTCATGATCCCCCTCCTCAAAAGAAAATACTCTTAGCAAACTAAAAGTAGAAAGCATCCTCTTTAACTTGACCAATGTTATTTATCAGAAGCGTATAGCAAACATTTTAATTTAATTTTTAGGGCCGGCCCTGTGGCTTAGCGGTTAAGTGCACGCGCTCTGCTGCTGACGGCCCGGGTTCAGATCCCGGGCGTGCACCGACGTACCGCTTCTCTGGCCATGCTGAGGCCGCGTCCCACATGCAGCAACTAGAAGGATGTGCAGCTATGACATACAACTATCTAGTGGGGCTTTGGGGGAAAAAATAAATAAATAAAATTATTTAATTTTTAAAACTTAGAAGCTTTACCATTAAAGTAAAATACAACATGATACATCCTCACAGTGCTAGAATGCAAAACTATTGAGGTCCTAACCAATGCAGTAAAAGCAAAAGATATAAGAAGTATAAAAGTTGAAAAGAGGCAAAACTGACATTGGCAGATAGAGATGTAGCCAACTTCCTAGAGAATCAACAAATTATTAGAACTTAGAGTTCTGCATAGCTGGATACAAGTCCACCGTGTGAAAATCAATAACATTCCTATATATCAACTGAAACCAAACAGAAAATGTAATAGAAAGAGGCCATTCTCAGGAGTAACAGAAACTCTAAAAGTACCTAGGAATTACCCTAAAATGAAATTGGCAAAGGCTATGAAGAAAACTATAAAATCTAATTGAAAACCATAAAAGACCTGAATAAATGGAGAAAAGACATCATGTTTGGGAACAGAAAAACTCAAAAAGATGTTAATTTCCTCAGCTGGATCTATATATTCAATGCAACATAACCAGAATCCCAACAAAAATTTTTGTGTTCCTTGACAATACAGTTTCAACAGCATGGGGTGGAAGGATAGAGGTATTTGGAAATGAGTGTACAAGTGAAAAATGAAAATATATATGTTTGAAGCACTAAAAAAAATTAATATGAAACAAATGTAGAGACAGCCAAGACTATTGTGGAAACTTGCTTTATCAGATAGTAAGACTTATTTAAAACCTACGAGAATTAAAACAAATGTGGGGAAATGCAAAAAAGAGACAGATTAAAGGGCCAAAATAGAGAGTTCAGAAACAGGCCTACATATATGAGAATTTAGTGTATGATAAAAAGGCAGTTCAAGTCAGAAGAGATGAGACTATTCATGAAAAAATGCTAGAACAATTGGCTATCTATTCGAAAAATAACTAAAATCAGATCCTTACATCAAAACAAGAACAAGATTTAGATGAATCAAACAATTAAATTTAAAAAAATTAGAAAAATGTAGGAGAATATCATTAACATACTGGGCTAAAGAAAGCATTCTCAAACAAGACTCCTAAAAAGCCAAAAATAAAAGATTGATAAATTTAAATTGATTACATCTAGACTATAGTTCAGTATAACAAAAACGATCACAAAAGATGTTAAGAGAAATTAGAGATTGGAAAAAACACTTGCAACATATACTATAGATAATATAAAATAATTCCTATATAAATACATTTAAAAGAGACCAATCTAATAGAAAAATGGCGAAGTATATTAATAGGCAATTTCAGAAGAGGAAATAAACAAAATGATGGTCAATAAACAAAAAGATATTTAACTTTTCTGGTAATCAGGGAAAGGCAACTACAATAGTTAAGATACAATTTTTCACCCATCAGATCGGCAAAAGCGTTTCAAGTTTAAAATGATGAGGAGAAACAAGTATTCTTATGCTGGGAGCAGTATGAACAGGTAACAACCACTTAGGAGAGAAATATGGTAGTATCTTTAAAACTAAAAATGGGCATACCTGTGATCTGGCTTTTCTACTCTTGGCACCTCTGCTAATGTGCACGAGACACAAACAACCTAAATGTCCATCCATAGGGAAATGAGTAAGTCTGCATGCAGCAGATGAAATAATGAGCTGGACTGACATGTGCTGATATACCTAAATCTGGACGTCTGCACCTAATTGTGTAATAATATTTACCTTTAGATAGGTTACCTCTAAAGTTGGGGTGGTGGTTAGGGGGACTTTGGTCTTACTTATATTAAAGAAGTAAAACATCTGTAATGTTTTAATTTCATATAAGAATAAATTCAGAAACTACATATTTAATAGTTTTTTTTAACAGAACAGTGGGCACAGGGCATCTAAATTCTAGTCTCATTTCTACCACCAACCAGTAACACCACCTTGAACAATTCATTTAATCCATCTGTTTTCTCATCACTAATATGGAAACTATGTGGGAAAATGAAGTTGCCAACCTGGCCTGATGAAAAAGTCTACTACCCTTCTAACCTTTTTTTTTTTTTTTTCTTTTTTTGGTGAAGCAAAGAGAACCATATTTTTCCAAGAGTTTTATAGAAGGTCCTCTCATTTGGATAGTTCCACTTCAGTGCCAAAAATAATTACTTTATATGAAGCTCATTTTGAAAATTCTGACTGAATTTGAGCCATATATTTCCATTTTTATTCGTGTCTTGTAAGTTTCAATTTAGCTGTTTGGGATTGTTAAAAAGAATTTTTTCAGAGCCTTTCACCACTTTCTACTTGTCCAATAGCCTGTAGTTAAGGTTCTCATATTATTTTTCCTATTATACCACCCTGCTCATCCTCAACATCAGGTCTTCTATAGCCCTCCAAAGTCTAATTTTGAACCTCTCATTTCATATTAGATGTCAAGCCAAGCATCTGATAAACCAGTTTGGGAGATTTCACAATCATAAACAAATGTCACCTTTATGCTTGCCTCCAAATCTCCCCCCTGTCCAGCATTTCACTCATTTTTTGTTCTAGAATAGGTATCAATATGGTCTACTTAGCTTCCATGAAAATATGTGATGGTAATTTCATTCCAGTATATTAAGTCTCTTAGTAAATCTGAAATAGCACTTTTTTTCCTCCCCAAGGTATGGAGCAGTTTCAGCAGGAATGTTGTGTGCCCTTACCACCCTGTCCCAGCAACTGGAGAATGAAAATGCTGTGGATGTTTTCCAGGTGGCAAAAATGATCAATCTTATGAGGCCGGGAGTATTCACAGACATTGTAAGTACTTTGCTTATTTGTGAAACAAATCAGGTATAACTCAGGCTCACACTTTAGAGCAGTGGTTCTCAAATGGGGGTGATTTTGCCCCCCAGGGGATATTTGGCAATGTCTGGAGAGTTTTTTGGGGACAGAGAGAGGTGTTCTGGCACCTAGTGAGTAGAGCCCAGGGATGCTGCTAAACAACCTGTAATGCACAAGACAGCCCTCCACAACAAAGAATTATCTAACCCAAAATGTCAATAGTGCTGAAATTGAGAAACTCTGCTTTCTAGAGTATACTGTTCTCTAGTTATAAGATACGGATATTCTATTATCTTAATGAACTGTCAACATTGAAAATTAGTTCCAAGCTAACAGAGATCAAAAGGATATGAATAAGGTGTAGGTCTTGATTATAAAGGATTCAAGTTATTTTTTAAAAAGTGTTTAGATAGCATCAATGTATGTTCCTGTTTCTCTAGTATGTTTTTCACAATTACATTTTTAATTGGTATTTCCACCTTAGGTGAAATGACTAAGCTGTTCTTTGGCTCAAATTGTCTTGCTTGTTTTTCAGGAACAATATCAGTTTGTCTACAAAGCAATGCTGAGCTTGGTCAGCACTAAAGAAAATGGAAATGGTCCCATGACAGTGGACAAAAATGGTGCTGTTCTAATTGCAGATGAATCAGACCCTGCCGAGAGTATGGAATCTCTGGTGTGATTGGAATCCTGAAAGGGCACTTACTTTGTAAAACTTCTGAAGACTGAGAACTTTTTTGAGGCCTTTTTTGCCAGACTCTAGGTTATACAATAACCCAGTTACTTTTTTACACTGATAAAAGTTTTGATATTTATTTTTTGCCATTTTATGTCTTAATGGTATCCTACTGAGCATTTGCGCCTCTGTTCATTTCACACAGTGAAGCTCAATTTTACCTAGTTTGCACTATATGATCAGTGTTACTGCCTATAATCTAATACTAAAGCAAACCCTGATGTGACATTCCATGACAACATACATGCTACTTTTTAGTTCAGTACAGTGAAGGTCTTTGTTATGACAGTGAATCTTGATTTTTTAATTATTATTATTGCTAAAGCAGTTGCATTCTACTAGCAGGCAATGCTGTACTTTTCCTCAGTCCTCCTCTCCTATTTTTTTGGGCACTGTTCAATACTGTATGCCTTCTGTATTTTCATGGAGTGGATGAGCATTGTTTTCTTTTAAAGAATAGCAGGTTATTGGGAGCTACTAAGAAGGTCTATCATCCTCATGGCCTTGAAATAGTTCTATTGATGATGGTGAAGATATCCACTAAGAAATTAGAAGGCCTAAGAGTTGCTTCATGTGAACATCACTTATTAGTTACAAAGTTATATTCATAGCTTAAAAAATACCCAATTGTGTCAAAATAAAGGATATCTCTGTATTACAGTTTTCACAGTAGCTATGTGGACAGTGTGTGTTATTTCCATTTTGACTCTCTGAACTAGCTACACCCTAAAATCAGGGCTATCTTTTACAATAGAGAGATGGCAACATTTTACACAACTCAGTTATGAAACCTTTTAGTGACTCTCCATTAATGCTTCTTGGTTTATAATGCCATACCTCACGGCAGGTGGAATAATGAAAATTTTTGCAGGTGTGTAATTTTGAAACTAGTCCTCTAAAATATCCCTATTACTCGTATAGCAATCTAATAAAAACTACCTATATAGTTAGCATTCTTTTCTTTCCTTTTTTGCCAAATGTTTCGTGATAAATCTCATAATTACATACATTCTTCTACTTAGGATTAAATTTAAAATACTGGATTAGCAAAAGTCTTGGGACTATCTAGACTCCCACACATGGGTAAATCTGATTTGAAGAGAGAAAATTAGAATCTTGAATAAAAGATGATATTGACATTTTCAAATAGTTTTAAAAGAGAAAGACGGCTTTGTATGCTTTTGTGTAGTTTAGCCTCAGGAACAGATACACTTCAGTAAAAGAGGCTGATAATCATTACTCAGAGCCCAAGGAAGTTATTTGGTCTAGCCTCTAGAGCCATATTCACCCTGCAGTACATAATGGGAAAATTAGAAGCATTAATAAGAAATTTAATTCAGTTAGTTAGAAAAGTAAGCTACGTACTGAGACCTGCTTCTTCTATTGCATATTTGGTTTTGAGAGACAACTTCTGTCAGAAGTGAAATCATCACCAGAACTGGGCCTGTTAAGAAGAAAAGGGTTTTGGTTACTTTTTATGTCAATAAACTTCAACAAAAAGTCCACACTGGCTACTATCGTACTATCTGGGTAGGCATTAAAACATTAATAATAATCAGCAATGAGAGTGAGTTGGCATTCTGTGAAGTTTGTCGGAGTGGTGCTGAAGGACCAAAGCTGCTAGAGAGGCTACAGGCCAAGTCCAAGCGTTGCGGTGCATAGGCCAGGTCAATGGAGTTTTCATGAACTACATAACTTGCCAGGGTTCATCTCATCTTTTTATCCCATGGATTCAGCAACACGAAACAGTCTGCTGTTCACGAACTGTGTAGGCTAGGCTTGAGAAAAGGTAGGCAAGTGAACAAAGTTTGCTAAATTTTATGTGCTCGATGATACAGACACCTTTGCAGCCCCTCTGCTCCCATCAGAGGTGACACAAAAAAAGCTCCACCTAACACTTCATAAAAAAATCTTGAACATAGGAACACTACAACTGCCAGAAGGCTGAGGAAAATCAGAAAGGGGAAGGTTTCAAATCATGGCAAGAGCAAGATCATTTTGTCAATTAAGTAGGTTACCTTAGTAGTATAGAGTATTGATGTGAGCTAATTCTTTTCAGTAGTTGGCACAGTGGACTTGACTTTCAGAAGTAATATTCAAGTTGGGGTTCATGGTCCCTCAGTAATTTTTTCTTAATAAAAGTAAACATTGGTTAGAAGACACATTAGCAAGTATTCCTTTCTATGCTGTTTACAGAGGGCTCAATTCATGGAAATATGTACCCTCCAACATAATTCTGTGACCATCTCTTACATGGGTATCAGAATCATGATAAAAGAAAGACATAGCTAATAAATAGAATAGAAACATTATAAGGATGATTTAGAAGTTCTCTGTGAGCAGTTGTGTGTCTATAGCGGGCTTGGACCAAAGTCTACAAATCCTGACCCACTGAACTATTAGCAATTGCTATTTGCCCATCTTGCCAAAGTGGTCCAAACACACTTCACTGAGGATAATTATATTCAGCAGTTCCTCACTTTCACCATAGAGAGTATCCTCACTATTCTTCATTTGTTATTGGCAAAATATGCTTGCACCTTTCCAGGGGCAGAGCGTTTCAAACATGGTGATTTCTTTGAGATGTAAGCACATTGCTTAACTACATAACAAGGTTATTACCACTTGCACTCAGGTGGAAAGGAAATAGCTATTGCAAATTTATGTGTGCTATAAAAATAAGCTTTTTGGGTGTATGAATTTAGCTCTAGGTAAACAGAATGCACACATGATACAAAACTGAATTGCAATGATCAAACCAAGTGGCCATGCTGGACATTAGAGAAAAGATACCTTATTGCCATCAGGAGAACTCTTTCTTACATCCAAAAGCCACAGTATCTTCTTTTATATAAAAAAATTATCTTCTGAATTTCAAGAATAATGAGATTCATTGAATTGGTTTTCCTAATTTTTATGTCTTGCAGCTTTTAGACTCTATTTCAAGTTTGAAGAGTCCAGCAAGGTCAGAAAAGGTTATGGTGTTCAAGGTCTGGCTGTTGGAGTTTTTAGCCCAGAGTGACATATTGAAATCAACAAATAACCTTAATTATTTTATAATGACACAGCACAACTGCCTTGTTATGAATTTTTTCTTAAATGCATATATACTGTATTTAAAAATTAAAATATACATACCAATTTACCAAAGATACATATTACTAATTCTAAGCAAAAAATAAGGAAACCCAAACTCATAATTTAAGAAATAATAATCAAAATGTAGTTTGTCTTAAGAATTTAGCAGTTATACTGGAAAATGCATTTTTCAACTCCTGTGTTCTAAAGTTTATGTTCAAATGGTGCCAGTGAATTTTTATATGAAGGGAAAATGCCTGCTTTTTTTCTTTTTTTAAAACAGCTATAATTTCACTTACCCCTTTGCGCTTTCCCTTAGTTGCTATTTAACATACAATATTGGCTTTATTTATCTCTAGGAAGAAGGCATGCTACAAAAGGAAGGAATTGTAATAATGATATTTGGCCTCTACTTTGTCTTAGCTGTTAAACTGTTTTTAGTATTTTTGTTAAATATTTGCAAAGGGAAGCATTTTCTACAGAGGATAATTAATTTCAAGAAAAATATCTTGAGTTTTAAGAAATAAACATCTCCAGAAAAGGAGACAGCTGATTTTATAAAACGTCGCAACTCTCCAACATTTGGGGTAGTGACTCCTTTTTTGTTAGGACATTTGAAACTAGCAAGCAGCCATTGTTTCTAAAAAACTCAGCCTTCAAGTTGATTCATGTTTCTTTCACTTCATTTTGAAATAGCTAAAATCATTAAAACTGTAAATATTTTGTTGCTTGGATAAGCATCTTCTGGGAACTTTGTATCTATGGTATATAATCATAGAATTTTATATTTTCATATAAAGCTAATTTTTTTCTAGTTTCAACTCCGTCCTAGTTTTTTTTTCTTTTTTTTTGTGGTGGATATGTGAATTCAACTTTCTGTGTATTGAAGTAGCAAGAACCATCTTTGCATTCCAAAAGAATCCAACATGTGTTATTTCTTTGAGGCAGTGATTGTGAAAGTTGGGTCTTCTTTTTTAATTCCATTGACCACTTGTGCAAAAGGAATTAGACATGATTAGTCACTGAACACATTCGTTGCATTGACCCATTTGGAAAAAGTGGGTTTTTTTTTAATTTGTTCAGAGGGGTGGGGTTTTGTAACCTGAAATTTTTCCCTTTTCTCTTCTGTTTAAAACTATATCAAATCATTCTATTATAGTGTTATTTAATATGTAAATTGTATTGCTATACATAAAATAAAGTATGGTTTTTGATGTATTCATTAGTGCTGAGCATTTCTATGAAAATATCTATATACAATAAAACCAGGTTACTAGTCTCCCTTAACAGATCACATTTTATACCCACCAACCCTTCCTCTTAGTTTTCATGGTAGTAAAATGAATGTTAGGAGTCATCTTTACGGAGGCAGAAAACCAAAAAGAAGTGCCTTTTCTGAGTTCTTCCTCCTTTAAAGAGTAAACAATGACAGAGTTTTACCTGCATGTTGAATCAAACTTTATTTGCTTTTTGAATCTGCTGTTAAATTATAAGCAGAATTACTGTTTTCTATAGCATATCAACTACTAGATTTGTAGCAACTTCTCTGTCTTAATATTTACTGTGTAGGATGAAGGATATATCCTGGCAAGACTTTTAGAGAATCTATGAAATATATGCACAATCACTACGATTGTTTCTACTTAGAAATTTTGATATTTCCAAACAGGGGTACACAGGTCCCAAACTTGGCAGCTTTGGTCCACCATTCTCTCTGAACTTTTAGTGGCCCCACATCAGGAGGTCAACTGTTACCAACAGCGCCCCAATTTTTCTTTCTATAGAGATAAAGAGCTGATAATTTCATTCTCCCTAAGTAACAAGGAATTTAAGAAATAATGTATTAATCTTTTCCAGTGGTATCTGGAAGAAAGACCAATTCCAGCACAAAAGAATGAATCTCTCTGTTGGTATAACCCTAGTCTTCCTCAAATTACACCCATGGGGACTCAATACTCTGTATCATAGGGTACATCAGAGGTCACAAATTGATGGGCTGTAGATCATATCAGTCCACAGATATATTTTATTTGGCCCACAATTTTAAAAATTTGTATTAGTTACCAACATCTAAAAAATGAAAACTTTTACATTAAGATTCAGATTTCAAGCTTTCAAAAATGTGGGCAGTCTTAGACCAGGCTCACATTCTCACATAGCAATAACAAGCTGGAGAGGAGTAGCAGTTGCCCCTTTTAGGTGACGCATATGCTCTCTGGGTAACCAGTCTACATCTCCCCCATCACCTTATGTCTGCCTGTCGTCAATCCTTTAAATAACCTGCCTGGATCCTATGAGTATTTGCATAAGAATTTTGAGACTATCTTCCATCTCACGCTGGTAAACCAACAACCAAGAGCAGCAGTAGAAGTCTTGATACCAGTCTTCCATCATTAAAATCCTAAGAAGCCAGCATGGGGCAAAGGAGGTCCCACATTCCTAACTACTTCTAAATTCACTCAAGATGGTTCCATGAAGCAGCAGTTATGACTGTTCAAAATAACTAACAAATCAGTTCTCTACTCTGTGGCTTTTACTGTCCGGGATATAACTCTAGACAATGAAGCTTCATTTCTGCTACCAAGAATGAGGCAAAGAAACAAAAGTGCAAAAAGCCACTGGTCCGAAACTCCGTTTTCTAACAGTTAATTTAGACTGCTAAGAACTTTAAGATTTAGAGACAAGTCACTTCTGACCATGCCTGGATTCAGAGACAGGATTAAAGACACTGGCTTTATACCTCTGCCTGTGTTGGTGAAATAGCATAAAGGAATTAGAAGATAGGAACTTGAAGTTGGGAACTAGTAAGATAAAATTGGTTTTTGTGATTATGAAGTTTGTCAGGGGAAATAATTAGACCAGCAGTTTATCTAAATCTAACAATTATATTATGTTGCTCAAAAATTGGAATGGAGGAAATTAACTTTATCTGATTTGTGGTAATTTGAAATCATTCAACTTTTATAGTTACTGGCCTATAAACTAATTATCTTCCCTTCCCCACACTCTACTTCTACAAAGTGTAAAGTCAGGCTTTGTGGCAATAGCCAATGGGACTTGAAAAGCTTAGGGGAACACACTAAGTTGTAGATATCTTTATCATCCCGTTAGAATTCCTTTCATAAGCATTTGCTAAATGACTACCAAAGGCCAGATGGTAGTTTTACTCTGTATGGAATGTAAAGTTGTTCGCAGAGGCATTTCAAGTCAGAAGAGGCAAAGATTACAATTTAATTTTAAAAATTAGTTCTTCAATTTATTCAAAAACATTTATTTGGCACTGTAGTAGAGATGATTTTTAGGGAAAGAGTTAAAAAGACAGTTGTACACCAGTATGAGCAAACAAGTAAAACCTGTAACCATTGATGTTCCCTAACTTATAGACTGTGCTCACAAAATTATGTTTATTCTATATTAAATTTGTTACTGGAACTTAGAAAGAATTTTCCCACAAGGGAAAAAAATATTAAAG